AAATTGAAGTAAATATTACGCATAATACATGAATCAGCACTACCTTTTTCTCCTAAAAAGTTGAAAGATGTGGACAACTTTACGAAAATAAATCAGACATTTTTGTACCATTAGCAATAGACACAACTGTGACATGGGCTTAGCACATTATTAATGCTAACCATAAGCTACCTTAACTATAACTTTCCATCATCAATCCTTTCATCCAATTTACTACATTAACTATAACTCCTCATCATCTATCATCTATTAATTTTCCTACACATTCTAAAATATCAACATGCGTGGAGAAGAAAAAATGGGATCAAAATATCACTCCTGTGCATGGCATAGCACCAGTGGTTAGTAAGTCTGAGAGAGAGATAGTGGCAAGTCAAAGTACAGGTGCTTCTTTGCAGCACCAAACAAGTCCGAATTTTTTGAAGCTTCAATACTTGGGTTCCAAGAACACCAAAGCCAAAGGCCGGGTTTAACACCAATTTGAGATTAACCACACCCTGTAAATGTTTTTTTCCCAATCAGTAGAAGAGTTTTGTTGTAATTTTTTTGGTATAAGTAGGGAGGGGAGGGGAGGGGAGGGGAGGGGAGGGGGCATAGGGACTGGCCATTTAAATAGCTCGGCTTATGGCCCAAACTTGAGCCCATAAAACGGGCTCGTTAGTATTCCACAACAACCTTGAAAGTGGAGAAGTTTTCTTTCATCACTAGAACCAGCAGCAATAAACTAAAGAATTCACACATCACAAAAATGAATTTAGAAATGCCTTAATAGTTGCAGACGAGCATTCACCCAACAAAAGCTAAATGTAAAAAATAGTACACAAGTTAACTGTTGACAAAGGAACTCTTTGAAGGCAAAATGACCACACCCAGCTTAAAGTGACATCCAATTCTCACCATATGATCATCTGTACTACAATCTCTTTATCAGCATGGGGTAATCCAAGTGCAGTTGCTTCATCTCTTTGGTGCTGTAGAAATCTTTCCTGGAATAATTACCAACAAAGGAGTGGAATTTCCTAGTAGCAAGAGAATAGAACACTCCGTTGCTGCCATAAAAACTTTGGGAAGCAGACCTTGTTACTTGATCCTCTCACCACAGCCTTTTCTGGGAAGGATCCAAAGTGACAAACATACATCATTTTGTCTCCCAAACTCTGCACCTCATGCCAAGCCGCCTTCTTCAAATCCAGCTTAAGTACGTCAACCTGCCTCCCATCACCATACACAACTACAGCAAGCAAATCAGTGGTGGCTCAACAATATTTGAGGCCTAAAACAATGACGATCAGCAATACGTTTATATTTTTTTAATAATAATTTAATTTTTTAATTTAAAATCTATTATTTTTACTTTTTGATGATATTCGAAATTGTTAATTTTTTTTATATAAATTTTGCCAATGTATTTTTTTAATTAATAATATGACTTTTGATCATCAATATTTATAGGAATAAAATTAATTTATTCATTAATATTTTTATGTTCTTTTTATTTGTTTTATATGTTCTTTATCAAAACTCTGTAGAATTTGGGAGCATTTCAACTGCTGTTTTTTCAAGGTAGCTGCTGCTTTAATGTCCTCAGATTATTTATTGCTTCTGTCAAGGGCTCATTCTTCTTTCAGCTGTGCTTTCAACTCATCTACATCAGTCGCAGCTCAGCTTCATTACTTCAAGCTGACTTAGCTGGAATTTTGCAATATTAGGGTTCATGTTCAGGATTTTTAATTTCTTTTATTTATTGTACTAAGCATGCATCTTTTCTTTATTTATTTATATACTTCATGTATTTAGCTTGCATTGAGGGATAAGGTACATACGTCCCCCCTTAGCTAGGTGTAATTTTTATTTTTTCAATTAATAAAACTCCCTCGCACCGTCGAGGTACTCCAAAAAAAAAAAAAATCAAAACTGTGGAATTAAATGATTGACTTTATTATAAATAAATTCATTGTTATCATTCTTTTGAATTATTTTACTATCTTTAAATTTTATTTATTTATCCATGCAACTTTCACTTAAATTTTTGTTATATTTTATTTGTTACGAATAAGAACTTTATCAAAACATTTTTTTAATGAGAATGAATGGTTTAATTGGTGTTTTGTGTTCAAATGAGAAAAAAAAAAAGTTTAATAGAAATAAAAAAAGTGTTTGGTTTTATTTTATTTTATTTTTTACTAAAGAGAGATACTTATTTCACTTCTTTCGACTCAAAAAAGTGATAGATTTTGTTAGCATTTTTTTATTTATCTTTTTTGTCCTTTAATAAACATGATTGCGTGAACAGATCTGAACTTTTGGGCCCAAATTTTTAATTTTTTTTGTTGGTTTACTTTTTCAAATATTAATTTTTTAGGCAATATTGTAGTAAATTTTATTTTTTAACTTATATTATATTATTAATCTTTTAATTTGTGGCCTTTTTCGTTTGTGAGCCTAAAGCCCCGCTTTTATTTTTATACTATAGGGCCGACCCTGAAGCAAATCTCCATCGCTTTCGATCAAAAAATTTTGTTGTGATTTTCCAAGGAGTTGTTTGGGTTTGCCACATGTGGTCCAACTACTTTCATGTTCCTTCAGCTCCAATATGCCAATATTTCCAGTCCACCCCAAACAATTGAACAACCCATTGCACGTAACAGGATTGCACTTAGCCATCATGAACTCTCGAATATTATCAAACGACGTGGACTTAAAAAATAGACTTAATATTCTTAACAATTGATTTTATCGTGGGTTCTAGCATCTATTGAGACTTATTACCTCTTCAATGATTGAGATTATTAAGTATAATTTTTAAGTCTATTTTTTAAGTTCATGTAACATTACTCTTATCAAACAGATTAATCGTCCACCATGAACTCTTGATTTTTATCAAACGACGTGGACTTAAAAAATAGACTTAATATTCTTAACAATTGATTTTATCGTGGGTTCTAGCTTCTATTGAGACTTATTACCTCTTCAATGATTGAGATTATTAAGTATAATTTTTAAGTCTATTTTTTAAGTCCATGTAGCATTATTCTTACCATACAGATTAATCGTCCAAGACCCGTCGCCAACTTTAAATGTGCCAATACTAACTGTATCATAACCAATACTTTCAATACCAAATACCTGACAATCTAATGAAGTTGGCGGCGTAGAGAAACACATTGTAGTGAACGCATAGCATATAGGTATGTCTGGAAGTTTTATTTTCTCCTTTGAGAAGGGATTGAAGAAAAAAACAGTTTCATCACCTTGACACATGAGCAGCCAACCTTCCTTTGAGCAGCGGATATTTGCATCTACTAGTTCTGGGATGTCCGCCTGATAAGTAGCATTTCGTGTTGGATCAAAGAAATTGAATAAACGGTTCTTTTTATTCAAGAACATCAAACATGGCGATCCGAAGGGTGGAGAATCATGAATTGGCATAAGGAGCGACAGTGTAATTGATTGCCAGGATTTGCAAACGGCACGAAAGGTACAATAGTATCCTGCAAAAAGACGTGATTGAATTAAAACTAGAAGCTCTGGTACAGATCAGACCATGATCTTTCTTCCCCTTCTTTCTTTTGTTTATGTGTCTCGTCTACTGTAGCAATTGCGTTTGCATTATACTTCAAATCCCAGCACCATCTTCTAGTCCTGGCCTTGCCCTGTTGTTTCATAAAAAGGGGTGTTAAGGAATAGAAATCCACACAGAAGTGTGCTAATTTAATTAAATGAAAATGATATCTCATGGAAAGACTCATCAAACTAACCTGATGGTGGTTCGGACGTGGTTGCAGAGAGGCGTTTGAAAATTCTCAAGAGGGACGTTGCAGAGTGAGAAAGGAATAAGAGAGAGAGTGATGAAACTTAGGAAGCGTATAGGTGTATAGGGTTATTAAATATAAGGGAAGTTGTAGAGTTTGAGAATGTTAGTTTTTATAAACTCAATTTTTAAAGGGTAATTTTTTGTATTTTTGAGTTTATGATAAGTTATGGTATTTGAAGAGATGGTCACTAAAAGTGTCCAGTATATTTTGGGAGGTCTGTTCATGTATTTGGAGTGTTCATGTACTGTTATGTGAAAAAAATGAAGAGTCAAAATCTGGTTTAATGCTTGGGGGCTGCTGTTCATTGAATGGGTAGATACAAGGACTTTTGGCTGGAAAACAGAGGTATAAAAGGGGCTGGACTGTTGCTGCCAAAACAGGATGTTATCTACAGAAAAGAGAGAGAGAGAGTGATAAAAACTGTGTTTTGCTGGAAGAAAAATCAATAGTGTGACATGAGCAGAAGCTCTATTCTTTGTATTTCTTGAGTGTTTGTTGCTGAAAAATTCAGATAAGTTATATCCTTTGTATTTCTTGATATTGTGATCATTTTTGATGAAATATAATGGTGTTTCTTGAGTGAAATTAGTGTAGTAGTGGAGCATACTTTTTGTCCTCTGTTTTTGTGTTCTTTGGTGTTCTATTTTGCTTCCAACTCCCAACAAAATTGGTGTCAGAGCAGGTTGTTAGGGCTACGATGAGTAATGTGCTTCAACCCTAATTTCCCAAATTGGAAAAAGATAATTATGGGAATTGGAGTATTCAAATCAAAGTGTTGTTACAATCACAAGATCTTTGAAAAATTGTTGAAAAATGTTACATCGAGCTGACTCCAGAGGAAGAGCAAGCGCTTAATGATGCTCAAAAGATGGTGCTTAAGCAATCAAGAAAGACGGATAAGAAGGTTTTATTTCTACTTTACTAATGTATTGATGATAACACTTTTGAGAAGATTTCTTCCGCCACCACCTCGAAGCAAGCTTGGAAAATTTTGAAGAGTATGCATAGAGGCATTGATAAAACAATTCGAGTTCGTCTTCAAATTTTGCGGAGTAAATTTGAAAGTTTGAATATGAATGGAGCTGAGTTAATTTCGGAGTGTTTTTCAAGAACTTTGGTGATTGTGAATCAAATGCGAAGGTATGGAAAAGATATTGATGATGTTCGTGTTATAGAAAAAATACTATGAACTTTAACTCCAAAATTTGAGCATGTTATTGTAGCCGTTGAACAATCCATAGATTTCAAGATTACGAGCGTTGATGAATTGATGGCGACATTGGAAATACATGAGCAATGTATTAATAAAAAGACTTCAAGTTCTCTTGAACAAACTCTCCAATCCAAGCTGTCTTTGAAAGATGACAAAAGAGAATTTCAAGGCAGTACATCTCAAAGAGGAAGAGGTAATAGAATACGAGGTAGAGGTTATGGCAATCGAGGAAGAGGCTATGCTAATAGAGGAAGAGGCGGAAGAGGCCAATTCACTAATGATGCAAGAAATCAAAATCCTTATGGTTCAAGAGGAAGAGGACAAGGAAGAGCAAGAAGCAATTACAACAATTAAGATTTTGACAAGAGGAATATTGAATGTTTCAATTGTCACAAGTTTGGGCATTATAGTAATGAATGTTGGGCAAGTGCAAATAAAGGCATTGAAGAACATGTGAATTATGCCGAGAAAGCAAGTAATGAAGCGGGATTTACTTTGTTGTTGGCCCACGATGGATCCAAGGAAGATAATGACAACGTGTGGCTTCTTGATTCTGGGGCAAGCAACTATATGTGCGGCAAGGAAGCATATATTTGTAGAACTTGATGAAGTGACACAAGACAAAGTTACTTTTGGCGACTCCTCCAACATTCCGGTGAAAGGCATAAGTAAAATTCTTATTAAGCTCAAGAATGACAGTCATGATTTTATTTTCGATGTCTATTATGTGCCGGATATGAAGAATAGTATTTTGAGTTTGGGACCACTTTTAGAAAAGGGTTATGATATTAGCATGAAGAATCTTCACCTTACAATTAAAGATGCTCGTGGTAATTTGATTGCTAATGTGCAAATGTCCAAGAATAGAATGCTTCTTTTGAATATTCAACATGATGCTATGAGATGTTTGAATGCTATTATTAAAGATGACTCTTGGTTGTGACATTTGAGACTTGGACTTTAAACGGTAAACGGGTTAATTGGTCTCACCTGAACACAATCAGGTTATTAAACATGTTTGACGGGTCAATCTGTTTATCATCCAAAACCGTTAAGATCTGACCCAAATACACTTAATTTGTATCGATTCGTATTGATTAATCTTGTCGTGTCAAATTTTGATAGGCCTACGTATAGCCATGATGATCTATGTATATTTTTAATTCCTATAAATTTTACTATTGAACAATTGCACTCATATAGTATCATTATGAAATAACACATATCTAATGCTTATAATATATTAAATGCCAAAATTATTAGAAATAAAAATTATGCGATACCACATTATAATATTGAACATTTTTACTATGACAATATCTCTTATAACAGTCCATGCATTATTTTTGACAAATTTAAAAAATGCATAAAATATGGAGTAACTCATATTACCTTTATTCTTTACGCGTCATCCATTAATTAATTTGTTTCACTTAATCGGTTCCATAGACGAATACTCTGTACTGAGGCGCAAACAAAGACTACAATTATTACGATATGTACAAATACTTTGATCATTTGAATGAGAGGAGACATAGCAGACCAAACCATTAAAATAGTCTCCTACAACCCTAATTTAATTTTTAGTTATTTTTTTTTTTGGATAACCTCGATAGTACTAGAGAATTTTATTGATTAAAAATTAAATTATACATAGTTAGGGGAAACGTATGTACTTTATTTCTTGATGCAATCTAATTATAATAATTAAGGAATTAAAAAAATTCTAATGCGTGATAATTACATAAAAATAAAATAATAGATAATTCTAAAATGCTAAACTTTCTAAAAATCCTCCAAAGATGATGAATCGTGTCCATATAAGGCCCAATATGTTTCAGAAATCTATTTAAAACTTTATAGAAAGTTCTAAAATATAACAATATTTTCATTGGTATATATAATGCCTTATATATATAAATTCCTAAAATATAACAAAAACCTTCTAAAAAAATGTAAAAGTAACCATTTCTAACTTTAAAAGGAGCAATCTCTCTCAAATTTTTTTTCACTATTTTTTCCTTTACTCTCACCACATATTTCAAAATTTTTCTCTCCCTCAAACACTTGTTGCCTTGCTCCGATATTTTCTCCTTATCTCTAGCTCTCTTGTTGTCTCTTAAAAATTTCATTCAATTTATTCATCTATAAGATACTGACTTCATAATTGCACCTAATTTTTTATCTAATCCTGCCCAATCCTAAAAGCTCTAAAATATTAAAAATAAATCATACCACAATTTTCTATAAAACGTCTAATAATAGTTAAAAAAATTTATTATTATCTTAAAATATTAAATGAGGTCTCATAAAAATTTTTTCGCTTTGAACCTTAATTTGCTTTGGGCCGTCCCGAGGACAGTGATGTCGATTTTGCAAGTTTGGGGGCATATATCCTCTCTCTCTCCATTTGTTTGCTTCAGACATCACTCACCTATCATTTTGTTTGGCAATTGTGTCGAGTCTTAACAGATTCAGGTCAAAAAAATAAAAAAACACATATTTAATTCGTTTATTAATTCATGTCTAAATATTTGTGTTATATTGAATTTGCATCGTATATAACTAGCATATAAACGAGACGTATCGAGTATTTCTTTTTAATTGACTTCATTCATAACGTTTTTATTTATTAATCATGTCACGTCAATGTACTCAAAAATTAATGACAACAAATTTTACATACCCTATATAAATAGCAATTAATTAGATCTTACATACCCTGACCTTTTGTTAAAAAAAAAAAAAAACATACCCTGACCCCTATGAAACTCTCCAATCACTGGACACAACACGTCACAAGCAGCTGATCCTGTCTTGTTGATCCTGTCTTCGTCTTCCTCTTTGAAGGGCTCTTCATCAAGGCTTTCTTCTTCTTCGTCTGCTTTTTATTTTTTTCCCTGCCGAAGTGTTCTCTATTTTTTTTTCTCCACTCGCTCTGATGTATGTTTTTTTGAGATCTATGGTTATAGATCTGATTAGATCTAGGGTTTTTTTCTGATCTATGGCGTGGGATCTGAAATGTTGATTGTTTTATTTTTTCCACCAGTCGGTCATTGTGTTTTGAGCTGTTAGAAAGTGTTGAATTGCTCTCCTGAATATTTCCTAAATATATGCTATTTGCTCTTTGGAATGTGTTGTATGGGTTGATTTTTTTTTTGGTACTCGTATTGGTTGGCTTGACTCATCGTGAATTGAAAGTAATTGGTCTCTAGAAAGTATTTGCACTCTGATCTGTGCTGAGTTGTTGGTTTTGCTCTCTAGTTGCTATTTTTATTTTTTATTTTTTATTTTTTTGCTCTCCTGTTGGATTGTTGATTTTGTCCTCTGCATATGTAGGTATTGCGTTGTCTATTTTTGTTTTTTGCCAAAGAAAAACAAAAACTTCCTTCTTTTAGATTTTTTGAAAACCAAAAACGAAAAAAAATTTGGAAACGGTCCCCAAGTAATTCAATTTCTTAGTACAGTACTACTCTGAAAAAAATGACCATGCCAAAAGATTGGGTGCTCACATGCACAGTGAAGAGAAAAAAGTGACTGGGCTCGATGAATTCAACAAACACACAGAGGCATGTGTAAAATAGGTAAACCTATCTATGACACCAGCTTTCTATAAAATTAGTATTTTAAAATTAACATTAACAGATTTCCTATTTTTTTTTTTATTTTTTTTTTTGGTAGAAAGCACAGGCTGCAAAGGCAACAACAGAAGCAACTGCTAAGGCC